TTAAATTTAATAACCACATGATTAGAAGAAGCATTTCATTACAGCTTTAACATATTCAGTAACACACTCTAGAGCAAGGATACATCACTTTCAAAAGTGGCTGTAAAATTGAATGAGTTTTTACCCTTTAAAGAAGATCTCCATTTCATTTTAAATTGCACTATCCTCTCTGTCTTAAAGCTCCTACTCTGCCTGCCCTCTCTTCTGAAATGTTCTCCATGTCTTAGAAGGGGTAGTACAAATGACTTATTGATGGCTGAGCCCTCATCTGTCACTTATTCTCAGCATCTTGGCAACCATGAATCTCTGTTCACCACCATTCACTGCAAATAGAAGCTTCTCTGATTAGCATTGAGAGTAGCCTTGTCTAAGGGTATAAGCATAAATATTTAGAAGGCAGTTTGTCATGCCTATTTAACTAATACCATTAGTAATTTCCCTCAAAAGGCCTATGACCTCACAAGGCATAGATTTTTGACGATGTTTACAGTACCAATTATGAGATACTTCTTGTGCAACAGGCCTCAAATCCAATCAGAAAGCAGTTAGCTACCACTACTCCACATGTGGGCACATATTGCCTGTCAGGTTAGTGTCGTAGTTAATAGAGTTCACTGCTGGGTTAGACCATTGATGTCCTTTCTCCCATAAGAGTCCACACAGAAACTTTTGCCACTTTGAGAGGGAGCCAGCAGAGGAGGTCTCCAGGTCATTTCTGGCTTAGTTTCTCTATATCTTAGAACCTTGGTGTGTTGAGTCTTCAGCAATAGGGTCTTATCATCTAGTTTTTGTGGAGGCCAATAAGAAAGCCAAGAACCTATATTGTTTGTGAGGCTTCCGGGACCACCCCCCCACACCGACCACCAATGATATCCCACACTTGGATTATAGTTTAGTATCTCACTGTTTCTAGGAACAGCAGCATCTAAACCATCCTGGGAATCTTCCTTCAAAAGCCTTTTAAAAATATTTCATAATCGGGTTAGAAGACAGAAGGCTTCCATATGGCGTTTTCATATCCTCCTCTTAACTCTTCTCCCCGTCCCTTTGTCTCCTCCATCCCTTACCTTTTCCTTGTTTAAACCTTTCCACACCCAGGATTCCCTTCTCTATACTTTCATTTTACCTATGTCCTACTATCCCAATTTCTTCCAGGAGCCCCTTTCCAGTTATATATTAGTTACTGTGTATTGCTGTGATAAAAGACCATGGCCCAAAGAGACTAATGGAGAAGTTTATTTGGTGTTAGGGCTCCACAGGGATAAGAGTCCATCATGGTGGAGAGGCATGGCAGCAAGTGGGGGGCATGCCACATCTTCAACCACAACCATGAACTTGAAATGGAGCAAAGCTGTGAACTCTCAAAGCCTCCAGTGACATCATTCCTCCAGTAAGGCTGCAACTTCTAAGTGTTCCCAAACAACTCCACCAACTGGGTGCCAAATGTTCAAATACCTAAGCCTATCAAGGACAATTCTCATCCAAACCACCACACATGACTTCACAGGTACTCCAAAGCTAAAGAGTTGAAGCTAGGAACTTCATATGAGAGAGAACATACAGCCTCTGTCTTTCTGGGTTATTTCAATCAATATGATTTTTTCCAATTTCAGCCATTTACCTACAAATTTCATAATTTCATTTTTCTTCAGTGCTGAATAAAATTCCATTGTGTGTGTGTGTGTGTGCCTGTGTGCCTGTCTGTGTGCGTGTGTATCATGTTTTCATTACCCATTAATCTTTTGATGACATCTAGGCTGATGCCTTTCCTAGCAATTGTAAATAGGAAGCCAATGAACATGGAAATGCAAGTACCTAGTATGTAGTAGGGTGAATTTCCTTTGGGTATATGGCCAAGCGTGCTATAGCTGGGTCATGTGGTAGTTTTGGTTTTAGCTTTTGAAGGACCCTCCAGAATTAATTCTAAAGTGGCTGCACTCGTTTAGACTCCAGCCATGTGGAAGGGTGCCCTTCCCCACAACTATGCCAGTACTTGTCACTTGTGTTATGTCCGGTTGCTTTTGTTTGTTTGCATTTTTGTTTCTCTTTTTGGTTTTGTGTTTTGAGACAGGGTCTCCCTGTAGCTGGCCTGAAACTTGCTATGTAGACCAGGCTGGTCTCAACCTCACAGAGATCCACTTGCCTCTGCCTCTCGAGTGCTGGGGTTAAAGGCATGCCCCACCACATCTGGTTCATTTGTATTCTTGGTGATAACCATTCTTCATGGGGTGAGATGGACTCTTAAAATAGTTTTAAGCTGCATTTCCCTGATGACTAGGGATGTTGAACACTTTTTAAAGTGCTAATTAGCTGTCTATAATTCTTTTTAAAAGAATTCTGCTTAGTTTCATAACCCATTTTTAACTGGGTGGTATCCCCCACCATTGATGTTTTATTTTTTCAGTTCCTTGCATATCGTCTGAAGTAGAGGTAGCAAACATTTTCTCCCGTCTGTGAGCTGCCTCTGCACTCAACTGACAGATTCCTTTACTTTGCAAAAGCTTCTGTTTCCTGTATTAGTGACTTTTCTGTTGCTGAAAAAATACCATGACAAAAAGCAACTGAGGGCTTGTTTTGACTTACAGTTCAAAAGGAATAAAGTCATGGTAGAGACAGCATGGAAGCAGGAACAGGAAGTCGGCTGATCCCACTTCATCTGTACAAAGGAAGTATGGAAAGCCGGAAGCAGGGCCAGGCTACAAAATCCTAAAGCCCTCTCCCAGTGACATACATCCTCCAGCAAGCCTCCACATCTTAAATGTCCCATAACTTTCCCCAAACACCAGCACCAACTGAGGACCAAGTGTTCAAATTCATGAACCTATTGGGGGCATTTCTCATTCAAACCAATACATTCTGCCCCTGACCCCTTTAGGTTTATGGCCAGCTCCTGATGCAAAATGTACTTAGTTCAATTTCAACCCCCCTTAGTCTTTAACAATCTCAACATTGTTCAAAAGTCCAAATTTCTTCTGAGACTCAAGTCAATCTCTTAAGTGTGACCCCCTGTAAAATGAAAAACCAAATTATATACTTCCAACATAAAATGGCACATTGCATTACCATCCCAAAAGAGAGGAATGGGGTCATAATGAGGAAAGATTGAACCAAAACAAGACTGAAACCCAGTAGGACAAACACCAAATCCTATAGCTCCATGTCCTGTATCTAGAGCTTTGGTTTGAAAGGCTTGGCTAGCTCTATCCCTCCAACCTTGCTGCCTGCATCATGTATCTGTTCCTCTCCCTTATGCAGCTCTCCTTGACGGATGTCTCATGGCTCTGGCCAACATCTTGGGTCTCCTCTGCAACTCAAGCTTCATTCATTGACTCCTCAGTGTTTCACTGCTAGAACTCCAGCCCTGCCACACGTAGCCTGGCCTCACTGGCTCTCTGAGGCAGTAGAGAAAGCATCCACATCCTTCTCAATTTTGCATCTTTCTTTTCTCCAAAACCAGTACCACATGGAGAACACTGCCAAGTTCTGCTGCCAGCTTGAGATAAAGCCTGCCCTGCCCCCTTTGGACAGCAGTAGCAGTAGATTTGTATGCAGTTGCTGTCTAACAGCAGGTAACCACTTAGGCTCTTTCCTTTCACAAACTGAAACTTTAGCAGGGTTTGGTCTTGCCCTGAAAGCACTTTTCCTATCTTTCCAATGTTGAGCAGGAGGCTTTTCTTTAATGGTGCTAGTCTCTGACAACTATAGCCTGTTTTTCAGCATATGCCTCCTCAGGGTGACCTTTAGCTTCCTAGAGCTCTTCTTTGCTTCAAGCTGCATATTTTGTGTTTCTTTATGCCCTGCCTGCCATTTCTTTTTAATTCAGCCTCATGAAAATTCTCAGGATATGGACAGGATGCAACCAGATTCCTTAAGAAAATATCACAAGAATGGCATTTAAGCCAGTTTCTAAGAGCCCATGTTCCTGTCTGAAACCTCAAAAGCCAGGCCATTGCCTGAATTGCTCTCAGCACCAAGTCTTACAGGCTCTTCTGGAAGGGCCCATTAATATCTTCTTACACTATTCAACAGTTTTTCTACTTATAAGTTTCAAATTCTTCCACATTCCTCAAAAAAAAAAAAAAAAAAAGGTCAGATTCTTCACAGCAACAACCCACTTTCCCTGGTACCAATTTTTTTTTATTAATTACTTTTCTGTTGCTGTGATAAAATACCACAACCTAAAACAACTTAAGGAAGAAAGGGTTTATTTTGGCTTACAGTTCCAGAGGAAGAGTCCATAATGGTTGGGAACCCATGGCATGAAGATAAGAGCAGGAAACTGGCAGATCACATTTCATGTACACACAGGAAGCAGAAAGAGCAGGAAGTAGAACAATACTATGAACCCTCAAAGCCAACCTCTAGTGAGATACTTCCTCCAGCAAGGATGTACTCCCAAAGTTTCCATAACCTTTCCAAACAGTGCCAATTACTGGGGACCAAGTACTTAAATACTAGGTCAATGTTTAGCCTATAGGGGACATTTCTCATTCAAACCATAACTCCCTGTATTCCTTCCCATTTTTCTTCTGCTTTTTTTCCTGGATCATATCTGATTTCAAGAAGGGATCTGGTATGGAGTATTTAAAGTTCAATGTGGTTTTCAGTCAGTGTTGCTAATAACACACATTGCTGTTCTGATTATAAAAATAGAGAATTATAATTTTATAATGGGGAACAGACCTAAGTAATCCTCTACAAAAATTGCTTCCTTTTAAAAACTGTGACTTGGGGGGCTGGAGAGATGGCTCAGTGGTTAAGAGCACTGACTGCTCTTACAAAGGACCTGGGTTCGATTCCCAGCACCCACATGGCGGATACGAACTGTCCTTAACTCCAGTTCCAGAGGAATCCAAAGCCCTCTTCTGACCTCCACAGCATTGCACAACATGGGTGCACTCACATACATGCAGGCAATACACTCACATACATAAAATAAAAATAATAAATAATAAATAAAAATAAAACATTAAAATCTGCTAAAAAAAACTGTGACTTGGGTGCTCACTTCAGCAGCACATATACTAAAATTGGAGTGATACAGAGATTAGCATGGCCCTTGCACAAGGATGATACACAAATTCATAAAGCATTCCTTATTTTTCATCAGCAAAGCTGCCTCATGCAACAGAGGGCGATGAACCTAGAAGGTCACTACAGGTCAAAGTGTGGAGAATAAGAGACTGGAGAGAGCCTGTCCCTGGATAGGACTCCTCACCCACCCAGAGCTCAGGGACCACTGCAGAAGAGGCCGCAAAAGGATTGTAAGAGCCAGAGGTGGTGCATGACCATAAGGAAATAGTCTTACAGGTTCCTGAGAACTTGCTCGTATGAACTTACAGCAATGATGACAGCATGCACAAGACCCATCAGATAAAAATTTAATCAGATAAAACCCAACACAGAACTGGGAAATGGGCAGGAGGCCCCAACATAGCTGAGAATTTGCCGACAGCTAATCACTGCCGGGTGAGGAAGAGCTGATCTTCTTTAAGTAACACTGTAGGCTGAACACACTACCATGGATGTACTCACACCGAGACAGTTGGGCATACAAACTTGACTCAATAGGCTTTAACATATAAGACAGAAGGTGTGCGGTCCTGTGGTTGGACTATGGGGAAGTGGTGCAGATAGAGGAGGTCTAAATATGCTTTAAATGTATTGTATGGCATTCACAAAAATCCAATAAAAAGTATACATTGAAAAAAAAAGAAAAGAGAAAGAACCGCGTAAGAGTCCAGCCATAGGACGAATACTGTGAGACTCCATGTATCTGAGGCCCCGGAGCATCAAATTCACAGAGACAGGCAGCAGACTGGCAGTCGTAAGGGCTGGTAGGAGAAGATGGTGGTAGTCTAGAGGTGATGATGGTAATGGCAACAAGGCTCTGCGTGCACACGAGGTCTCCAGCCATGCACTTAAAAGAGGTAAAGATGCTGAGTTTCATGTTACATGTATTTTGCAATTTTTAGCACGAAACCAATATGTTACTTCACTTTACATGATAAATGCTGCATTGCTACAAGAATAAAAGTGATTTAAAAATAAATAAAAATTTTAAACGTGACTTGAATTCCAGAAAGTTGATAATGACTTGCCCACATCCACAACTAATTAAGTCTTAAACAGCTCATCACTAACCATCATAAATCTCCTAAAACCATTTTTTGTGATTTTTAGATTATCAATGTTTTTTTCAATAACTTGCAAAAGCCTTGAGGAGGCCACATCCAAGCACAAATTTCTCAAAAATTGCCAATATTGAAGGACTCAAACCATGAGCCTTGGGAAGAATTCTTCCTGTGAGAGGTGTTTCAAGCCAGATGAGCAGATGACAGGAGTCAGTCACCTCAACATTCCCTGCCTGCACAGGGTGCAGAGCTGAGGTCTGAGATCCCAGGCTGCATATTATCCCCGTTCCAGAGCAGGGACCCATGGCTCGCCCTCCACTGCCTGCATGGCCCTCTCATAACCATACACCCAAACCGGGTCCCACAAAGCCTACCACCTCCACCCACAGGGTTGCCTATGGGTCCTGTCTCAGTGAGCCGGGACTCCAGATCTCCACAATCATATCACTCAAAGAGGCAAGACATCAGTGTTGGTAAGCCCTGGAGGCTTTCTGCCTTCTACTTGGCTGGGCTTTTTACACCACAAAGCAGATATCAGACCTTGGCAGCCTGTGTGGCCATCTTTCCCTGAGGGAGATCACCTCTGCAAATGGTCTAGTAATCAACAGCTATCTGAAGGCATGCACAAAATGAGCTTGTGCAGCCTCATTTTGAGTCTGTGGGAGGGTCCCATACTATCCTAACCCCAGGGAGTCCTGCTGGCCTCAGTGTCCTGAACCTTAACCACAACAGCTCAGTAGCCCACCCCACCACTTCCCCATTTGCTGAACAAAGCCAGGGTGCCCTCAATGAACCTGCCTTACAGAGACAGACCTTTCTCACCCAGTCTTAAGGAATGTGTCATACTGTCACATGTGAGGGCAATGGAATGGGGGAAATCAGATGCCCCCAAACCCTGTGGAAACCTGTGTGAAACTCAACTCCCACCTATGAAATGCCACATTTCATTAAATCACTATCCGCTACTTTCATTTCCTTATATCTTTGCTTACACAGCATATTGTAAAGACTATGAGAAAAAAAGAAGCAAAATTTTGAAGCAAAGTCAGGAATCTGAGATTGAAAAGCTCAGCACTCTAGCATAGCTGTGTGCCGATTCCCTCCTAAATGAGGTGCAAGTTTACCTTGACCCCAAGTAACTGAAGCCCAGGAGGGAAGCACACCTATAATCCCAGAACTCAGGAGGCAGAGACAAGATTGGGTGTTCTAGTCCAGCCTGAACTGCATAGTAGGCCAGAAGGATGGAGAGGAAGAGAGTGAGGGGGAGGCAAGAGACAAAGGGGGGGGGGGGGGGGGGGAGAGAGAGAGAGAGAGAGAGAGAAACTGGACTACATAGTGAGCTGGGAGGGAAAGCAAACATGGTGGGGGAGGGAGGGAGGAAGAGAGAGATTGAATGATTGGGCGCATAGTTGTTTTCAAAGTATCAGAATCAATCAATAGGAAAAAAAGAAAACTCCTGTAGTTTGAAATGGAAAAATAGCCTGCAATTTTCTCTTCCAGCCAAGACACTGTGGGGTGCCTAGGAAAAGGCCGCCTGGTAGTGGAAGAAATGTTTCCATGTGTACACCTTATATACTGTCTACAGAGCTTTCTGCCACCCTCCAACACGAAAGGTCCCAAATAAGTGCAAGGCGCTGCTGTGGGGTGTTAATGGCACCAAATGAACTGTGCACATTTTACTGTGCACACTTCTGGATTAGCCCATCTTAGCTCAAGAGACGGCGGGGTGGGCAGAACTAATGAGCTCTTATTTAGAATATTTATATGTCTGACCTGTAAGTTATGAAGTTTCTTTTTTCAAATTTGAGCCAGAGGGAAATTTTTAACTTTTTTGCCCAAAACACGTAGGTCATAGAGCCCCGGTCTTCATTTTCTTTAAATATAGATAGAATTAAACCCAGAAATGATTATAGGAGTAATGCTAAATACTTCCCTACATTGCTTTTTCAAAACCGTAATGCGCATGTGGACTAGACTGCTTACTATGAAGTATTACTGGATACATTTGTTCTGACAATCAGTGTGAATAACAGTGTGAGGTGGTGGCCTGCATTCCTTCTCTTCTGATCCTTCCCAAGGAAGACTTTTGACTGCTGCTCTCAGATTCACAGAGGAGCATTCTTCAGGTGGAAGCTGAGCAGAAGACAGGAGCTTTCTAGACACAAATTCACGGAGACCAGAAAAGCCTCCCCACCTGACAGTGACATCTGGATATGAGGCAATTCCATATGCTGTACATTTAGACAAAGTCCTCCCGAATCAATAGGCCGTAAACTCTACTATACCCTGTTATGTGGCACAGGTGTGAATACAGATAGAAATATGCACATAGATGCAGAGCAGACATTGTAGCTCCTTGGGTTCCACATTTGTGGATTCCTCCAACCATTGACGGAAACTGTTTGAAGGGGGGAAAAAAACTCTGTTGAACATGCATAGACTTTTTTCTTGTTATTCTTCCTTAAAAAACAGTATAACAATCATCTATGTTTCATTTATATTGTATTAGGCATTAACAATAATCCAGAGGTGATCCAAAATCAGAGACTATGCATAGGTTTTATGTAAATGCATTATTTTACATAAAATACTTACCTGAACCACCTGTGAATTTTGATATTCATAGGTAAGGGTCCTGGAAACAATCCCCTTCTAACAGCAGAGGCAAAAATAGAGACAGAGATAGTATGTATGTGTGTGTGTCTGTGTGTGTCTGTGTGTATGGGGCGGGGGGGAGGATTGCTCATGATTGTGGAGGCTGGTAAGTCAAACTTTCAGAGCTGAAATCTCAGCTTTAGTCTGAAAGCTAGTATCTGCTACGGAATCAGAGAGAGGGGAAATCTCAACTTAGAGGCTTGCAGGCAGGAGAACTTGGAGTGTGGAGAAGTTGCATCCTTTCTGTTCTGTTTAAGCCTTAAACTGACTGGATGAGGTTACCCCCACTAGGGAGGACAGTCTGCTTTAGTCAATCTACTGATTGAAGTGTAATCTAACCCCCAAACTCCCTCATAGACACACCTAGAATGATATTTAGTCACACGTCAAGGCATCTCATGGCAGGATCAAATTGACATATAAACTAATTAGCACATTGTTATACACATGGCACAGAAGTGCTACTCAGAGATGAGCAGGGCACAGTTCACATGCATCCCTTTCTCCTTAATGAAATCCACTTTCCCATGCCCTTCCTGAAATCAGCAATCCAGTGTACAAAGCTCAGCAGCCAATTTCCTTACAGCTCAAGTCCCCGCTGAAGCGATCTGGAATGATGGCTTGCAAATGCTGAGGCTGCAGTCAGGAGCCAGGGCCAGACTCTGTGGGCCTGACTACAAGCAGAATCAGCACCTCTTCACTGATACGCTGCTTGGGAGTCATTGGCAGCCATCCAGAACACACTCCTCTAGGACAGTTACAGCTGGTTCCCTGGGGATGTAGGACTATATATCTTACAAGATGGGACCCTTAGCTCCTGTCTTGATTCTAGAGTCCACACTGGGTAGGAAGACCCCTGGGTTATCTGTATCAAACCCCTGGTGACACAAGAAGTCACTGCTAGCCCTGTGTTTTCTCTGACCTCCTCAGTTTTCCCATTCTCTCCATAAGGGCAGAGCCACGTTTACTAAACAAACTAGGAGTTCTGTTTCTTTTGCTCCTACACAGGGTTCCACTGACTCTAGAAAGTGATAGCAGGCATGCCTCTAGGGCAAAGTCACAAACTTTCCCAATCCTTAATCACAGTAGTCCTGCCTAGACATAAGCACAAACACTCTCCTTGTTTTGACGTCCAAAGCACCAACCACTTCCCAACCATGATGATTCTCAGCATTGGTCCTCAAAGTCCCAATAGCTTACTCTGGTGAAGAGAAAACAAATCCTAGGCAGTGGGTGAGTTCTGTACCAACCACAGAGCTAGTACCTGTGGGGAGAATAACAAACCTAGCTTGACCCATATCCAAAGCTGTGCTTC